GGAATGCAGGTTTGTAAATTGAATTGCCAACTTACCAGCTGAGTGGTAAGTTGTCTTTGGCACAGGATGCCACAGTTTGATTCCTGGCTGGATTTTTACTCCTGTGACATGAATATTAAATAAGGAGAGCCTAGCTACGCTTGTTAAAATTGGCTGTGTAGCATGTACCTACTTCTAGATATAATATATATAAAATAAATAATATTGCCAGAAGTTTCAGAAGATTAATCTCAGTGCTTTCTGAAAATTGGAGTCCTTTACAGTGTCACATCGAATTTATCAGAAGTGCAAGGCACTTCCAAAAACTTGATCGGTTAAAAAATTCTGGGCCTTAAACACATACAGTGCTCAGATTTAAGTATTGTGCAGAGAATGCATTGGGTAGATGGATTATGAGGGTGGAAGTGCCACACTGTAGGAAGGGTGGGAAACATCAATGGGAGAGGTTGTTCTTATTTTAAGTTATAGTCTGCTGTTGCCCAAAGATAGCTTAGGGTGTCAGTTCTGTTTCTTTGGATGAAACAAGCAGGCTTTTTGTTAGACTGTGAAGATTTTTGAATTTCGAAGACAACCTTGAAATGTTAAGTCTGGCTCTTTGTCAGCGAGTGTTGTGGCTTGAGGTTAGAACTTATGGGACTTGACAGATTTTAACTTGCAGGCTCTGCTGCAGGATGCTGCAAATGAAAAAATAAAGATCAAAACCACCACCCTAAAGATCCGGCTAAAATTAATGGAAATAGTAGAAATGAAGATAATTGCCTAGATGTAGGTAGCTGGTCTATGTCATGTTGCAGCAGAGAATAGTGTGTTCCAGCCTGCAGCCCAAAGGTGGAGGAGAGAGATCGCGGGAAGGAAGGCCTCTGGCATAGGCAGTGAAAGATTAAAGAGGATGAAAAAGATGAAGTGTTATCAAGTGCAGTCATTCTGCATATCTGCAGCATGGGTGTCAAGCATAGCCTGCTAACCTGTTGAAAAAGTGGTATCTGCGTAATGCTGCAGACATTCTTTTACAACTGCTGTTTGGTGGAGGCATGCTTTGATACCACACAGGAAGGTGCAAATAAACCCCCAAATTTTTTCAACATTCTGTGTGGAAATCACAGGATGTTGGAAAGAGTATGGAAAATATGGAATATGTGCTGTGACATGGCTGCAAAGGATGCTGTGAAGAGAGAAACCACATCTCCTAAGCATTTGAGCTTGGAACTCGTCTCTCATGAGTTATCAATGAGAAGCCCCAGAACAAAATGCTAAGCCTTATATAAGGGACAAAATTTGAAATGCAGACAATCTTTCTGCATTACTCACTAATGTAACTAAAGATAAAGGCATTGAGGTATATATGTAGGCATGTAGGAAAGAGAGGTAAAACTGTGATGAAGCTAATGGTAATCTGAGGTTTTCTCTTCTTCAACGCTTGACAAGAGATCCAGATTTATCATGTGAAGATGGGTGATAGCTTGTTGCGACAAAATGCTAAGCAATTTGAAGAATGCTGCAGTAGTTTGTTAAATTTTAATGGCACGTCCAGTTAACTCAGTGTGAGTCAAATATGTAAAGCATTTGGACTGATTTGGGTGAAATTGGGTTAATGGGTTAGGAGGTTAAAAATCAAATTATTCTGCACTCGTATAAAAGGGGAAATATAAGAAAGGAAGGTGTTACTAAATTTATAGGGTTGCAGACTTGACAGTTTATGTCTCCTTTGTCAGTACGCGTAAATAAGTATGGTGAAAGAATTACTTACAAAGTGATTTTTATGTTAGGAAACTTTTGGGTTTTTGTCTCTTTCCTGTCCACGTTCAGTGGGAGAGGAAGGAGGCAAGGGAAAGCTGGGAGCAAGGTGACCTGTGCCTATGTTGTTGGTTTTCAACATGACTGAAACACAAGTTGCAACAAGGCCAGTGTTTGCATCCCAAAGCTTTAAAATGCTGGTCTTGCATGTAAATCTTAATACTGCTATCTCATCATCTCATGTACTTTCTCTCCTGGTTTGCATGGGAAGAATGTAATTTTAGGATTACTAGCAGTCCTCACCCAGGACTTCAGGGAGATTGCAGTATGTATGTAAAAACAGAAAGCAGAAAAACATACTTCCAGGTTTAACATTCAGTTTCTAGTCTCTTAGATGTTTCTTGGAATTACAGAGAGGTGATGTCAAGATTGAAAAGCCTAATATTCAGGGATACTTAGTACCTGCAAACTTCAGGCTTCATTTTGCAATACATTTCACTATAGTGTGAGTAATAACGTCTGATTATAAGGACAATAATGTCCTTTTCATTTAACTTCTTTTTATTCCCTGACCCCTTTTGGACCTCAGGCAAGCAAGTGATGATGCCCTAATCAGTTTCTGGCTTTGGTTTGAATGCCTTGTCAAAGTGTAGGAAAGCCTTCTGCTAGTTTGTAAAAACATTTTTGCTAAAACTAGAATTGCCTCAGAGTATCTGTTAAAGTAAGTTTTTTCTGCCATTGTCTGATGGTGTTGCTTTTTCATATTAATAGCATGTAATACTTTATTTTGTGCTGAATTTCATCAAGCTTAAAAATCAGCTCCTTGAAATAACCACGGCTAGGTTTGGAAGTTTTCAGCAAAGTCTGAAGGCTTGAATTTATGAATATGTTTGGAAGAATTGAATGGTGTGTCGTGCCTGTTTAATCAGATGATCATTGCCTAATTGATTTTTTTTAGGATGCGTTAAAATTCTTTGTGTACTTGATGGACTGGAACAACAACTTATTGTGTAAATAGGATCGTGTTGCTATAATGCATAGTAAATTCTTTATGAAAGATAGTTGTGTGGATATGTACAAAAGCCATTCCTAATAGCTGTTTAAAATGGAGTATTTCAGTACTTTTTCATTTCAGTACTGATCGTGCAGTTGTCGTAGTGCCTTGAGCTGGTTTGCTGTCAGTTATGAGGCTTGAGCCTGTCCTTTCTTTCTCCTGTTTTTGCTGTAGAAATACTATAAGACAAAAGGGTGCTAATCACTTGTTCCTTTAACATTTCTTGTATATTCTTCATTTGCAGAATTAAAAAATAAAGGTTGTCAGTGTCCTCATAGTTTTAAGGGTGGAACTGTAAATATTCAGAGGAAACACTTTTTCCTTTTTTTTAAATGTACAGGTTATTTTGAGGATTAAGGAAAATATGCTGCTTTTTTCTTTTTCCTTTTTCTTTTTTTTTTTTGGTAA